GGTTTAATACGTGGAGTTCTCTCTGCGTGCTCCAGCTTCCTAAGACATGCAGGTTGGGTTGAGGTTAATCTGAATCCTTCAATTGACTCTAGTTCTCAACTCATTCATCCATTTGGAGCTAAACAGTCATGACGAGAACAAACTGCAGCAACCTCCTCGCTGTGAGGTGAAGGTGCTGATGCTAATGTGCTAACGTGCTAACATGATGAACACCTCATACTGTCCTCTGTCTTCTTCATGATGTTATGAGCTCAAAGTTGTTGATGATGATGATGATCTTCTCTTCTCAATAGATCCTGATTGTCAAAGGAGGCTGATTACATTCGATGCTTCTTCAGAGGAGCTGCTATTAAAACAACCGGCCGCCGTCATTAGAGTGAAGTGACGGACGCCACAGTATAAAGGTGAGTGATTGAAGGTCACCAGGCGGGTGGAGGAGAAATGAAACACTTCAGACCAGACGTATATTTCTCATTTAAATAGATTTATTGATAACATGTAGTTATAATTCAACTATCATGATCAAATCAGCTGCATTTGAAACTCTGAGGAAGAAACTCCAGTGACGTGTGCAGGATAAAGGTCTCACTTTGAGACTGATGCATTATGGGTAGTGGTCTTTCTACAACACGGTACAAAGATAAGCTGAGTGAGACCTCAGAGCAAGAAGGTTCCTGGTTTGAATCCTGGTCTCTCGATGTGGATGTTTTCTCCAGCTTCCTCCCAAAGTCCAAAGACGATACAGAGGACGTGTCACCTTTGTCCAACATAAACAACTTTTAACAACTTTTTTCTGCCTTTTCATTCAGCAGGAAACACAAAGTTTTACATCCGTCCCTAAGTTCTGCTTTGGAACTATTGAGAACATTATCTGTCCCTCGTTTGTCTCGCTCACCCACACAACATACAGATGCGGGACACTTCTGGTCTTCTTGTGACCAGGGACAAAATGGATATGAGCCCTTAAGTGGCCCACGTGGTAAATGGTGATTACGGAGACCACCCGCCTCGACATGACGCTGGACGGCCGCTCGGTTCACAGAACAAATCCCCAAGTCATTACCTCAGTTATGTTTAACCGCTCCACCGTGATGATCAAGTGACTCACATAATTGTTGAAGGGAACAGAAGTCACTTGAAGTCCGTCCGTCATCTAAACCGCTGGAGTTGGACGAGTCGTCTGCATCACAGGGACACAAACAACATTTACGGTCAATTTAGATTCCCCAGTGAACCAAGGGACTGTGGGAGGGAACCCAGGGAGAACATCCACACAGAAAGGGCCCTGGACGAACCGGGATTTGAACCGGAACCTTCTTGCTGTGACCATCGCACCATTCTTTTTCAAAGGGGCAGCGCCGCTAACTTCAACGACACAGAGGTCGATCTTTGCAGCTGCTTCTTGAGTTGAACCTTGTTCTGGTGATTTTCACTTTTTCCTCATCTCAAAGAAACGCAGCACGATTGAAAGACAATGAAAGAGACATTCACACTCGTCCGACTACAGCTCTGTATCTCGGAAATCCTCTGTAGACCAGAACGCCTCACTTCGGTTTGGCCTTTAAGGTCTTCATAGATCGCATCCTCTGAAGGATGCAGCTCCTTAAATGAGACACTTTGTCTAACACAGGTTTTCTATAACACAAACACGTGTTGGTGCCTCCATCACTTATTTGCAACACAGAAACTGAAATAAAAAGGTGTGTGTCCTCTTCAGCTCCGTCCGTCCTGTCGTCTCTTTGCTTCTGTGAAAGCTCTGGACAGCTGTGAAGCTTCAATCTCAGTTTAAACCCAGTTAAACACCAAGGGACCATTTTTTGTCAAGCAAAATAATCGTTCTGGTTGTCGTCTCTTTCTCCAGGGGAAAGCAAAGACACGGCACCGGGTGGTGAGAGCAGACACAAATTTCTCTAATCCATTTAAGGCTAATTGCTTGTTAGTCTTCCTCCGTTGTCCCGAGGACTGTGCTGCTCGGCCGGAGCAGAAGAGCCAATGAACTCATCATCGTAGTGGTGATGATGTTAAATCACAATAACAACATGCAGAGCGACAAATAACTGAGACATTCACGCAGGTTATCTTTGTTTTCAGCTTTCAGATCTCAGCAGTGAGGAGCAGTTACCACCGAGGCAAAGGGTGAACTAGCTGAACTAGGTCATTCTTTATATTGAGCTGAGTTACACAACTTTTATTTTTAAAGGTTTGTGAACTTGGGTCTGAGGATCGAGTCGCTGCGTCGCTGACCTCTGAAAAATGAAATGTTGTGTCCCAGCCTGCACTGCTGCACCTCAGTTCTCCATGAAGTCAGCGTGAGTGAAGTGAAGCAGAAGTAAATATAAGTGTTTTCTTCGTTCACCAGAAACTGAACCTCGGTGGCCTCGTTCCTGCAGATTCATTAAAAAGTTTATACCGAGAACACAAATACAAGAAGCAAGAAAAGCAGCTCCCTGAAGATGTAAGCTGAAACTTTACATACGTTCATGCATGTTAACTCAGTGTGTGTGTGTGTGGACGACGTGTGTCCCTGCCTCTGCCCACAGGGACTGACTCCACGGCCTGTTAATTTAATCCATATGTTACAGGTCTTGGTTGAGGTAATGTTCAGCAGCTTCGCTCCGGGTTATAAATCCTGGCAGTGAACCTGACTGGATGCTCTCCCCACTTCATAATTAGACCCCTCAATCATTTGCTGCAGGGATCTTGTGTGTCTGAACGCAACGTGAGGGAATTTCATTGTGTGTGCACAAAAAGACACGTGTGTGTTTGTGCACATGAGTTAGTGTTAGGGTGCTGATGCATTGTGCCTGTATGTGTAGAATCTACATGCGTGTGTTACTGGACTGGAGCAGGAAGGAATCCCACTGAGACCCAGTTTCTCTGGAACCCTTTCAAATGCACATTGAGTTTGTGTCAGAGAGAAAGATGCATGCTGCTAATTTCTGCATCACATCATGGCCTGGGATCACTTCCACCAAACAAACGCCGGCGTGTGTTTTTTCTAACGGCGCTCATTACGGCTCAGAGTGTTGTTTGTACACAAGAGGACACGAATGGTGGAGAGTAAATGAAGAAGTAATTATACACATTTGTTTCTCACCTTCATGAAGTTTCTCTTTGAACAATCTTCCCAGAAAACACAAATATCAGGAGTCAGTGAAACTGTTTTTGTAGATATTTAATGAATTTGAGCGAATTGATAAATCCAGTCGAGCGTCGTGTGATCGATGGAGTTCACAGGTCGACCGCTCAGATTGGAGATTTAAAACACACACAGCTCTACCAACAGTGACGAGAGGAAGACTGGGGGAGAGACAGTCTGAGTGATGAAGAGGTGCTGGAGATATGAAGTAAATATACACACACACCTGAACAGTTTGCATTGTACACTTGGCAAATACTTTTACTTTCAGTACTTTTAGTATATTTAAAAGCAAGTGCTCACTGACGTGACTGTTTATTAATACGTTTACTTCAGTAAAACGTTGGAGTCATAATAAACTTTCTATCTTTTTACTTCCATTAAAAACATTGAAGCTCGAGAAAATTCAGCAGCACCTTTCACATCTCAGGGCTACAGCGCCATCTAGTGGAAAAGAGCTTGCATGACATCCTTATTGTTTACATTCAGATCTGATACCTGATGGGGCTCAAGTGTTCCCAGTGTCTCTCACCTCTCTCTCTCTCTCTCTCTCTCCCAGAGCCCTGATCATGTCACTGTCCCCGATCGAGCTGCTGATCTGAACAGTCAAACAGAGAAACATCCCAAACAAACTGTGAACACACACTGATGATCTACATCATCTAATTGATGATCAAAATAAATAATAATCCACTGATCTTATGATTAATGTAGGGAAACAGGACTGTGACGCTGTCGAGCACAATGGGAGCTGATTTATGAAACAACACAAACCTGAGGAAACTAACGAAATGTAATTTACATTCATGCAAAACGTTCGTTCTCACATTAATAATTTCGGATCAAGTCCCTTTTGCATATGTACACTTTATGTGCGTGTTTCCTGCCGACAGACTCACATGGGTGAAAACGCGACGTCGTGTACATCCGTGACACATCAGTGACACATCAGTGCCTGTAATGTCAAATATACAACATGAAAACACATCAGCGTGGATGAAAACACATGAATCAATGTAACGGCCCTTTATCGTGTGTGTGTGTGTGTGTCGGTGCAGCACACGCGTGTACATGAGCAGGACCCAGTAAAGCTCCAACGTTATCATGCGAGTCCAACAAATAAACTAAAAGTGTCTTGTATAGAAATATGCATATTGTCAAAGTAGTTTATGTAAAATACAGACACACTCAAACCTTTTCCCTACTTTAAAGAAAACACATTTTTACTCTGCTATATGTTTAAATATCACAATGTGAGGTGTTTTTACTTGGTTTTGTATTTTAATCTGATCTGGTGAGAAATATTCAAACGTAGAACAGACTCAAGAATAATAACGGCAACATCAGGAGAGACTTTTAAAAATCCAAACATATTCTGAAGGTTGGCAAAGCTTCTGGACAGGAAGCAAAGGAATATATTTGATAATTTAATACATAACCATTGTGCCGTTTATTGGCAGCAGTAACTCAGACCGTGTGACACCACGACTCAATCACTGCAACACTAAAATGTAATCCAGACAATATTAATGTCATTTGTTATATCTGGGTTTGACAAGTCATCAGGTCTTCTGTGCTCTGAAGGCACAATCCTCAGCCGACGTGCAAATGACAAGATACAGCCCCAAATACTGTTCCAACACAATTCACAACACAGAGAGCTAAACCTGCGTTAGCGCCGAGTTAATTCACAGGTCAGGTTCAGATCTATTTATAATACAGTAATAATAAGCTTTAATTGTGAAGCACTTTCCTTAACACAAGTGTTTCACCAGAGGCTAAAAGAACAATAAGAACCACCAGTGTCATCACACCGGCCTTGTGTTTCTGCTGTTGTTGTTGTGTGTGTGTGTACATGTGTTTACAGATTGGTTGTGGGGTGTTGTGATGCGAGCGTTGTGCGCAGTCGGTGAGGCGGTGTGTGACAGTGCGTGTGCACGAGGCTACGCACAGCGTGTCTGTACCTGGCGGACATCAGGTTGTACAGCAGAGGGTTGATGGCAGCGCTGAGGTAGAAGAGGACCGATGAGACCA